GAAAAACAGTTTTCTCAGTCCATGGATTCCAAAAAAATAGTCCACAATACAAAAACAGCATGATTATTCTTCGATTCAAGTAAATCCAAAACTTTTCTTCGAGTCCAGACCGGTCCATGATCTTGAAAGTTTGAATACAATCCGAGTCCATGAACTCAAAAAGTTTTACTATGGACTATGGACTCAGTCCAGTCCATATGGAGCTCTGATACATACGTACCTAAGGTGTAAAATGGTTTTCCAATAATTTTATTTTTTTGGAGTCCCACGGACTGAGAAAACTGTTTTTCATGGACTCGGACGTTACTGAACTAGACTTTTTATGTCATGGGCTGGACTCAGAACTTAGAGTCCATACGAAACTCTGGTATGTACACCAACAGCTTCAACAAGAAACTATTTAAACAAATGCATAACTCAAGGAAATACATAAATAATGCAAGTATTTGCTGAGACAATATTATACAAACATGCAATTAAATTATGCCTAACAGTATGCTGACCATCGATGGATAACAATTGAAAAGAACAGAAAAAGTAGAGTAAAACATTCCTTACAATCAATTGTTTTTGTACACAAACTTTTTAAGACAAAAGACCTCAGTCAACGCCCTATGGTCAGTTTATTATTTTAATAAACTCTTCTCTCCAAGTAAGTTTCTGAACGAGTCAAACGCGCCCATCTTAAGATAAAAGCGATGTATAATTTCAACTGTGTTTTTTCTAGAATTCTATGGTTATGTAAGACAAAAGATTATTCTTAGTCAGATAAGTAAAAAATTGACTTTTTCTCTCAAACTTGTCGACATCGAAAGTTTTTTTTAGTATAAATTTTTTATAGCAAAAATAAAAAATAATGTCTAAAAACAATAAAATGTGTAAACAATCATTCTAATTTGAATGTCGAAGTACCATCACCTGTCCGGAATGTTTTATTCTGACAACATTGGATGCAAGTAAATGGAACGGTTCACCGTCTAATTGAGCCGTCATTGATGTCTGGATTTCAATTCGTACTTGACTACATTGTGCAATGCGAATACCTGAAAAGCCCATATGTATAAGTCCCATATGCATTGTAGACAAACCTACGACTTCAAGCATTTTATCACCAAAATGTTGATTAATATATTATCGTTCCTGTTTGTTTTTGGACATCCAAAATATTCGTGAGGTACATTTAAGTCACCCATTATTAAACACTAATCATTCAGAATTTTTATTTTATTTAAACTGATAATTTTATTTTTGATGGTACATATATAGATGCCACAATTAGTTTTAATTTTAGTTCAGTAACTACAAATTAGCATGTGACTACATAGCACTACATAGCAGATGACAATACATCAACAATTGTATACGATATTTTTTCTATTAATTCTTCAATGATTTTAATATTATTACTGTTGTGATGATTTCTACATTGGTATCTGGTAGTGGTTCGATGATTGAATTGTAAATAAAGAAAATCATCACCATTCATATTTTGTTTTTGTTTTATTGGTGTTTTATATTCTTCAATTGCTTCGATGCTGCTATACGTTGTTCTTCACAATTTATGCATTTAACATTGTACTTGTACAATGCTTGCCGCATGTGGACCACTACGTTTATAACATATTTCAACATTTTTATAATATTTGACTGAATGTTCAAATTTACAACATTTGCAGCGCTGAACAGATTGTGTATTTGGTTTAGCTGATTCAGCATCATAATGCGAATAATCAGTTTTTAAAAATGTTTCAAAATTTAATTTATCAACAAAAATAACTTTGATTGTTTTTATCCTTTTATTATCTTTTTTAACATAAATACGTTTAGTACTGTCAAATTTAAAACCATTTATTGTTAATACATGCCTGATTCATCAACTTAACATTCTTGGTCAACATGTTTATAAATACAACGTTTTCTATATCCAACACCTTGGAACATAGACTTTAGTACCGTCTTGTACACTTGGAAATGAATCCGTCGGAAAAGATGTTAATAGTTGATTATATGTTTTTATGTCTGACGGTTGAATAGTAAACAAATAATGTTGATTTTTGAATATGTTTTCGATTTTGGCGCCAAGCATTTTATTTCTTCAGGATTTCATTTACGTGTGAAATGTCTTTAACGTCAACTGGTCCTACCATGAATTCTTTTTTTGGGATTGTTGCTTGTTATTTCTACTGTCGCTGACCTTCTGAAGCTCTATAGCATTTTGACATTTCCTGCTATGTCAATTTATTTTAGTTTATTTTTTCTCTTTTTCTATCTTATTTAACACAACGTATGTTAATGTTAACAGTTTAAAACTAAAATTGTCTAAATATGCTGAAGATAATATGAATAAAATTGAGAAACTTACTAGGACTAGAATATACAGCTTAGAGCGTATCCACCAACGTTTATTCACATTCAATGATTACTCATTGTTTAACAATCAATTAGCAAAAGAGGACAGTCAAACAAAAATAACAAATATATATCTTTCATTCAAGAGTATTTTAAATATAACTATTGATTTGTATTTCGTATCGTGAACATTTTTTCGATAAACGAATATTCATACAATGAATTCATCGTTTTCATTCAAAAATCTCGATTATATAGTATAATAGGTTTTTCATCGTATTCACGCTGTTGTCGTTGCTTGATTATTTTGAAAACTGGCCAAACGTTTAAGAATTGTCGCTTCATAATCTTCAAAATTTTGTTTTACTTCTTTTTTTCTCGTTTCTGTTCTTGTTCTTAGTTTTGTTGTTTGTTTTTGTGTTTGAATTATTCTAATCGATATAAATTGTACATGATCATCGAGACCTTTTTCTTGTTCAATTATATGTGATACATGTTCATTTTCAAATTCTAAAATTGCACTAGAATTTTTAAAAACTATATGTTGAATACAACCATATTTACTAAAAACATTTTCTAATTCTTTTTCATTATATAATTGTTTTGATAAATCATTTGTATTCCATTTGATAATAATACGACAACCATCAAAATTTAAATAATCATCACTATTCATCTGTTTTTGATTAAATAAATGTAATTTTTCTAATTCATCTGATAACAGTTGACTACCTATTTGAAAGAAAAATGTGAATAAAAAGTCAATTTTTTTTTATAATTAAGAGAATATTTTAAATATATTTATTTATTTAAAATAGATATTTACCTTCTCGTCGTAATCGTTCAATTTCACTTTTAAATTTTTCATTGGCTGTTTGTTGAGTGGAAGATGTTGTGGTTGTTTGCTGAGTTTTTTGTTGTGCTTGTTTTTCATTTTCTTCTAATGTTTGTTTAAATTTTTTTCGTCTATCATCCATTTGTTGATATTTTTGTTCTTGAATTTTTTTTTGTAAACGACATGAATCATAGGCATCACGTGCTTTTTTATCACTTAAAATTTCAAATGCTTTACTTAGTCTTAAAAAGCGTTCATTTGCTGTTGCATCATCTGGAAATTTATCTGGATGACAACGTAATGCTTGACGACGAAATCCTTTTACTAAAGCTTGTCTCGTACATGTTTCATCTGTAATACCTAATAACTGATATAAATCGAAATTTGATACATCAACCATTGTTTACTTCTTTTTTTTTTTCTTGTATTCTAAAGCTTAATCTAAAAAGAATATTAAAGTTAATTAAATTAAATAAAATTTTAATAGGGGGAGACAATATAAAATTTAGAGATTTGTGTAAATAAAAGAGAGACTTACTCAAAGTTTTAAATTTAAAATATTTTTATTCTATATGACATGATTATATGACAAAAAAGTAAAAAATTATTCATAACATAAAATTTATTATTCAATTCCAAATCCTTCAGCATGATCAATAGCAATTAATAATTTTTCTTTAAGAATTTCTTTATTTTGATATGGTGGTAATAATAATTGATTAAAACATGTATGAGACATTGGAAGTCTAAAAAATAGAACAAATAGTAAATAGATAAAATTTTTTATAGTTTATAGAAATATTTTACAATTCATTGATATTTGATTTATTTGATGTCATTTTTCCAATTTTAAATATCATTTCACTAATACCACCAACGGGCATTCGATCACTTCCAGTAACAAATAAAAGTAGACGCCGTTGTTTATCAGATGGTAGTTCTTCGACAATTTCCCAGAACCATCTAAATATAAAAATATTTTAAAATATTAAAATAAGAGAAAATTATAAAAGACATATACTTAATAAAATTTTCATCTGATTGACAATTTTCATATTTTGTTATTTTTGCCAAACCGCTTAAATTACATTCTTGTGTACCACAAATGAGTATCTCTAATTCTTCTGGAACTAACAACTATCAGAAGAAAAAAAAAGAAAGAAATTGTAATCAGAATACACGTGTTTGTATATAAATGACGTACAAGTAATGCATTTGATCCACATACAGAATGAAATCCATAATAAAATGCTTCAAATTGTTTAAAAATACTTTTATTTAAATAATAATCAATTAATAAATCAACATATTCTTGACGATTATCATTTGTCACTGGGATATTGGATCCATTTTCTTTTAATGGATGTACAACAATTGAACCATATTCAGATACAGTTATCTTTGAAACAAAAAAATGACAGAGAATTAAATTTAGTATACAAAAGAAAAAAAAAGGTATCAACTTACTTCAAATGTTAAACAAAAATCTTCTTCCACATTTTTTTCATAGTCTAATAATTGTTGTAAACTATTCATTATGTCCTAAAATTAATTAAACGAAGACAAATCTATCAACTTTGTAGGTTTAAATGTGATTATGAATGAATCATTAGAACTCTAGCATATTGGTCTTTATGTTTATCTCGCATATACGACATTAGAATACATTCGGAAGAGAATAGACATCAGAAGAAGGAAACAAAACATGTGTTTAGCAACAAATAGAAACATTGCTCTCTTCATGTATATAGTCTATGACACATATAGATAAAGACGTTAGATAAGGATCTCTTCTTTTCCGAATATCTTCTAATATTCACATTCGAATATGAATATATGACATACAGAAAAAGAAGACTTACACGCTAGAATTCTATTGTTCAAGTAAAATTAGACAAAATATCTACCGGTCGTATTGTTTGAAAATCAGCTAATGTTGGTTGAATGTATCCTACTTTCAATTTTTGATTACTACTACTATTGATAAATGGTAAAAATGCTGGACTCAACAATTTTTTATAACAAACAATTGGAAAATGTATATCTAATATTGTCCCATTATAAACAGCCAAACCCATGAGCTAAAAGAGTGATTAATGTATATTAACATAATGTAGGAAAACTGAAACTCTATAAACATACCACTCCAACAAGATTATATTCTTTGATGTTATCAGCAGCTATTCCATTGAACCAATATACACCGGATGATTCATAATATGTAAACATACCTGAAAAATAATAAAAAAATTCTTTTATTATGAATAAAATTGTTCAACTATTTAAAATACCATAATCAGTCAGAAATATATTTCGAATAATTAACAAAAACCATTCTTTCGTAAGTCCACCCATGTCTAGGCCAACTTCGCCGATAAATGTTACACGTAATTTTTTTTTTAAATCATCTCGTTTTCTTGACACCTGAAAATACAAAATAAAAAAAATTTAACATTATAATTTTTTATAACATTACAAAAGTTTACCTCTTCTAATGAATCGCTAACCAAATTCGAGCGTCGAACATATAAATTTAAAAATAACATACCAAGATTTGGAATTTGTTTATTGCGAAATTTTTGAATCATACTATGCTAAAAAAGTTTTAGAATAAACCTTTTTTATTCAACTTTTTTTGTTTCAAAAACAGAGGACGTGGGGCCAATTTTAAGCAAAAGTTGCCATTTGTGCTTTTAAGTTACTTTCAATCGGAGTTTGTAGAGAAAATTTTTGTATATATTTCTCGATGTAACTGAGCCTCAGAAACGTACTAGAAACATTTTTATTATGCATTTTGTGACAGTATGTCAAATACATTAACGTTTCCGAAAATATGATTTTTTTCTAAAAATCTGAACTAGAGATGGATAAAGCTTGATACAGAAAAATAGATAATCCAAAACTGTACAAAGTGGTATATGACTCGTCCTTAGTAACCAGTTGAGCATAGAGCAAAAAAAGTTTTTTTGATCAATTGATATCAAGAGTCGAAGATTGTATGACCGTTTCAGTCCCTTTTTTCTTATAAGTGAAAGAGGATCCAACCTGTGTTTGGTATAGAAAAATTGCGCTTGAAAAGCTCTACAATATATGTTAATAGGAAAGAAACTTAACGAAGGCTGACAGCGTCTTTTGTGAAATCAATGTTAGATTTTTCTACTATGGACGAATCATATACCACTTTGTACAGTTTTTCATTGTCTATGTTTTCTTTATCAAGCTATCTCTAGTTCAGATTTTAGAAAAAATCATATCTTTCGGAACGTTAATGTATTTGACACACTGTCACAAAATGCATCATAAAAATGTTTCTAGTACGTTTCTGAGACTCATGAGGGAACCTTTCGAGGTGATTAAACGCTTTTTGCTCGGAATCTAGTGAGTTATAGGTTATCGACCATGCTGATTACAAATATGACCATGCCGTTAGGTTGCCCTTTCGAAGACCTGGTTTTCTAGAAAACCAGTTTTTCAGAAACTCTAAAATATAACCCGAATCTTTCTTAATGAGGCATAATTGTAGCCCGCAAATTTCTGATTAAAATGAGACATCTCCCAGCTTTACACGACCTTTCTTTGCAAACTTATAGAAGTCACAAGAAAAGCCCTAAATTAATTTCTTCTTATTTCTGTAGCTTTGAGCTGACAATGAACATTTAGGACTTTTCTTGTAAATTCTATAACTTTGCAAAGAAAGGTCGTGTAAAGCTGAGAGATGTCTCATTTTAATGTCTCATTTAAAATTGGTATCTTGTGCAAACATCGATGATAACAAACATTAATAAAAAGTACATACTCTTGCTGTTACAATCATTTGTTGTTCGGAATCTTGTTTAAGTATTGCACGTTTTGCATTAACGCTCAAAACAAATGGATATTGACAAAAAGTAAAACTAAATAGAAGAAAATTAAATAAAAAGCGATAGAATAATGATGATTATGAATATTAAGCGCACGAAATAGAAACACAAGAATAAACACCTATTAGACAACATCAAATAATCTACCGGTTATCGATAGCAACTGATTTTCGTTGCCAATATGCATAATCTGTTTCAATATCAACATAATTTAATGTTGTTATGGCAAACTCATCGTGCGGAATTTTACGTTTTCTCAACATTTCATTAGCGGCATCTATGAAAATATATACAATAACTAAAATCTAACATGCGCAAACAAAAAAAAGAAAAGATTCATAATTTTGACCGCAAAAGAGGTAAGCGTAAATAAAAAGTGCTATTTTCTCATAAACTACCCTCGATTATTTTTAAACCATAAATTATATTCAAATTCACTGTCAATACCATCTAGTTCCATAATGTAGAATTCATTATAGGCCATAACTTTGTGTTCTGATTCATTAGCAGCGTCTAATGGTAAAATGAATTCTAATTAGAAAGACGATGAGACTTTAAATTACGACTTTTATGATATTTGAGAACAATGTGTGTAATTGTTAAATGAAAAAAATGGAATCGAAAATAAACGAAAACTTACTGAATAAAGCTAGTGTTCGAACGCTCGACGGTATCCACCAACTGTTGACTTGGATTTGAGTGGTATATAATTTTGGAGGAAATACATTAAGAGAAATAAATGTTTGAATACGAATAACAGCTGATCGAAACATTTCCAGTGGTAAACTAAAACACAAACGTAAAAAACTTTATGGCTATCTTATGTATTTCGAAAACACACTCTTACGTTTGTAACAATGAAACAATTTGATGATGTTCGCGATCACCCAAGCTAGCTATTCGACGAAATATATGAGCAAATATATGATACGAGGATGACTCATCAAACAGTGGACTCTAAATTGGGAAATTGAACATTGAGAAAATTAAACTCTATTTAATACGTTGATCTTTATCTCTCTACTAGCACAAATATTATGTGCATACTTAAAAGCCTTAACTTATTATGTAGTTCATACCATGCATATAAGCTCACAATATTTATGAAGGATTGTGACGGATTTGTTTTTCTCTAAAATATCAGAAGATAATCCTTTGTGAAGGTCGTAAATCAAAGAAATTCTTTGATGGTTCGATGTTTACAGTCTATTCAAGCAATTTGTACAAGAATATTTATTCAATGAGAGTGGTAGTACAAATTGTTTTTTTACAATGTGGTTTTTACTATGCGACTCTATACTAGGTACAATGGTGCAATGATATGCTGTTATTGTTACGTATATCCACATCATGACATTTTCTTCTCTGTATAGAAAACATTTTAATGTTTTTATTTCAATAGTATAAGGAAAAGGAATATGCAGTGGCGAAGATGGCAGACATTCACTAAAACACTGCAGAAATAAAAATCGTCGTAAATTTTGATGTATCGAAATCCTTATTATGGCACTTAACTGATGAACGGCATGATAAGTTAAGATTTTTAGGTGTGTAAATAATTTTTCTATTATCAGAGTAATAAAAATCAATGTGGAAGTAGACCGAAGGTTTTTACAAGGATTAGCAAAGAGAAAAAAAATCACCTACCAATATGAATACAATATAGCCTTTGAGCGTATTGTTACAAGCACTAAAATAAAACAGTTTAGTAATTTATCAAATGAATCATGACATGAAGAAGTGTTCATACCTGTTTTGATGATTATGATTAGAAAAACATAGTCTAAAAGATATTTATAAGGAGGATATGTAAACGGTACAATATTGATTGACAAAATACTTACCGAACTTCTTTGATGCAAGATGAAGCGATTGTTTTCAATGCTGACTGAACGACTTGAACAGCCTGTTATGAAGTGAAAGATGTGTACAATAAATGTTTATCAAGCATAAACATTTCTTTGACTTACTGCGCATGAAAGATAATCGTTTATCGTTTCTAAATATTGCCAATTCATAGAATTTTTCTGTTCCCTATCGATCTGTAAAACCAAAACATTATTAAAATTTCAATTTTTTTCTCAAAAATAGTAGTCTATAAATCGTTTCATCTAACATCATATAATAATCTTACCAATGTCAGCATCTCTATCATATTATCAAAATTTGAATAAAAACTGGTATAAAACGCAGATATGTCTTCTACATTTGCTAATTGAATCAAATGTCTGAAACAGAAAATAAATAAATAAAATAAATAATTGAGTGACAAATTGGAGATATAGATCGTACTTGAATTCGTGATGTTCATATATCTTTGGAGGCAAGACCGTTGTTTCAATTGTACCACTATCAAATTTCAAGACCGTAGCATTGGTCTTAAAACAATATCAGTTTCGTCAAAGAATATTATCTAGTAAATCGTCTATCAATTTAACCTTATTAGTTGATTGTTTACTGACTATCCATGGCAGACGAATTTCCATTTTTCTTCGATCACTATGAATTATTCCATTGTTATTTAAATTTGTTCGTCTTAACACACGATAAAATGTTCGAAAAAATCGAGAACGAAGACTAAGACTAGTTAGACGATGATCATCAACAGCCTAAACAGCAAAATTAAAATTAGAAGTGAAAAGCTTTACCACTAAGGAGCTAATTTTTTCAATTGACACTAGTTTATCAATATGAAGATGATTAGGTGTGATATTTTGGAGTTTATCGGTTGCTAGCTAATCCAGAATCAGATTTCTTATGAAAATGAGAGATAATAGCAAGTTAGAACTAACCTACCTCTCGAGACGTTTTTAGTCGTACATCATATGATGTGTGTCTACTTAGAAAACCTCCACAAAATGGACATAATATTCTTAAACGTCCTTCACTCGTGAAATTTGCTTCTATATCGATATCACAACGAAAACAATGTTGATGAGCCGGTATTTCTTGCTGTTGAACATTGTTGACACTACCAAGACTAGTGACAAGATTCTCATTAATCAACGATGTCGACGAAGTAGTAACAATATGATCTAAATATCGTCGAGCCATCAAAACTTCACACACAATTTAAATAGATTAGAGAAAAAATGAGCTTCATATATAACGCTAATACACATTATAAGAGAAAAATCTAAAATAAAATGATAGAAAAGATGAGCAGAGAAATCTTACTTAAATTTAGTTAGAATGACTCGACACACTAAGAAAAAACAAAAAACTGTTCAGAAAAAAAAATGACGCTACAAGTTGCACAAATACTTCAGTTGCATTTCGAGATACTAACAATAAAAACAAAAATATTTGGTTCTGATCGTGTGCCAACAAATCAGTAAATAAATCAAGAAACATACTCCGCTGCGCAACTTTTCTTAAAATATTTGATCAATTATAGAACTATGGATACTTAAGCTGCGCCTAATCTCAACTTAGAGCAAAAAAAATTTTCCAACTTATCGTTCGATAGAGCGCATCGAGCTGGTTAAGAAAATGTATTTTTAAATTTTGTTTCGTTTCTGAGAAAATTTATTTTTTCTAAATCAGAGACGAAAAAGTCGAAATTCTGCCCGTAATTCTCAATTTTCTCCAGTAGAATTTAACTTCTGTATAATAATATTATGATCAAAAGGTGAATCGATTGATGTGTATCTCTATCCTATCCGAGTACTTTAATTTTTTTTTGAATTGTCACGTTGCATCGAGATTTTCACCAACTAAATCAACTAAAAACTTCGAAATATATATCAGTCGATTTTCAGCTTTTGATCCCAATCCCGAATATGACATTTTTATTACACAGAAGTTGAGTTCTGTTGGAGAAAATTGAGAATTACGGGCAGAATTCCGATTTTTTCGTCTCTGATTTAGAAAAAATAAAAAGTGAAGCTAATTATTAAAATCGGGCTTACAGCAAATCTAATGACGTTCAACTGACCGCTTCAGGCCTTAACACCAAAAACTAGATAGATTTATAAAATTACTTGCGACATTTTAGGGGATTCGTTTGGTACTGTCATACCGGTCAGGCCTTTAACTTTAAAATTGATCAGACACCATTTTCTATTCAATTTTTAACCCTGAATAAGAAAAAAATACTTTGGAAAATCCAGACTAACAAAGACAACGAAAATTTGAATTATTTTGAACTTGAAGGATTTTTACATCGTTCAAGTTTTAAAATTTTTCACCATGAAAAAGACTTTTTTGAAAAATTAAAAAATACATTTTCTTAACTAGCTCGATGCGTTCTATACAACGACATATAATAAGTTGGAAAAAAATTTTGTTGTAAGTTTCCATTAGGCGCATCTTAATTTTTCCGTTTTAAATTACAGCAGTTATTGCTAAATTGTCTTAAATAGACAAAAAGACGTTCGTTTCATCTGCACGCCTATCTTCAAACTTTCATTCGATTGTACTCAAACTTTTAGCACAGATACTCCACACCCTATCCGAGATGCAATTTTTTGGCAACTATTATTTTGCAGCGCTGACGATTTCCAGTTTTGAAACCTCTGGTTTCTGAAGGTTTTTCAGCATGTTTTCTATAAACTGGCAAGAAAAAAAGCTTTTTCAAAGAAAAGAAATCTTAAGCATTTTACAAGTCAAAATTTGCTTGAACCAGCTAGAAAGATATTACTTTTCTCCTGTTGTTACTAAAAACCCTCAGAGAAACTACCGATCAGAATGTTCCAACAAACTGAAACTAATACTTGCCTTTTTTCGACAAATAAATTTACTTCTAAGTACTTATCTCACTTGACAGCCACTTGTTCACGCATTTGAGTGACGTTTCGCAAGTATTTGGCCAAGTAAAAATGCACGTACATATTATTGTTTCTAAGTTGGTTTTATTCAAAATTTGAGTACTGTACTTTAATATTTGCTTGGTGAACTTGCTCTATTCTGTGTTAAAAGATGACGGTGTAGAAAAAGAAAGTCGTTTACTAAGCAAAAGCAAAGCTATAATAACCAAACAGAGCATTGCAAAGTATTTCAATCTGTCTTTTCAAAACCTCTACTAATGTGTCGATCCTATTTTCAAGCAGTAAATAAGCAAAAATCATATGTTACAACAAAAAGCGATTGTAGGTAACAGAGTAAGAGACAGTTTTAACAAAATAAAACATGAGAAAATTCTTGTGTACAAAAACCTATGTGCTTCAGTGTTTTTAATGATTAGTGGGTCTCGCTTGAACAAAATGGGTTTCCACTTTGAAAATTCGATTTCCACTTTGTTTTTAGCAGGGAAAACACGAAAAATGCAGAGGTAAACTGTGGAAACCCACTTTGCTTAAAATTCCTATTAAAAACACTGATGTGCTTAAAGAAAATGCGCACAGTATTACCATTTAGTTAACACACGTTTTCTTAGAGTTTCAGACTATTTTTAACAGAACTCTTGCGACCTTCACAAACAAAAATAGAACCAAATATTACAAGCTTAGACAATCACTTTTTAACGAACATGACAAGTAAGAATTTTAAAAACGCCTGCCAAGTATCAAGTACAATCACTAGTGACATAATGTTTTTCACATTATTATATAGCAAGACAGATATCGCGTCACTAATTGAAACATGTGTAGCTTTCAACAGCAAAAGCCAATTCAAATTACAGCAGTGATGTGAAATAAAACGAAATTTTTTGAAAGAACAAATGTGAATGAATCATTAACTTCATAGGATGGTGAATTTCGAGCAGATAAAAAAGATGCTAACAGATACCACTAGCATTTGGCTGATGACGAAGAATTCAGTGAGCCGAAAGACTTATCAATTACCTAGAACAGAAATCAGTATACACCAAATTTCCTATAAGTGATTAGAAGAACAATGTAGGAGTCCAGAAAGTATTGTGGCGCTAGTAGTAGATGTTATGACGAATTAAAAGATGAAATTTAAGTGGCGATTGATTGTGCCAGTAGTAGGTATTCTCCCGTGAAATGCTGATTAGTTGACTTTAGGTTACGACAGCCAACTGACGGCATGGAATTTGATTATTTTTAATGAACTGCCGCTTCTAAAGAAGGTCCTTTAGTATAAGTTATAGATACCCTGTTCCACAAGGTACGGTAAAACTATGCAAATAGCACAGGAAAAACGCACCATTGAAAGCCTAAAGATACCTTCAATACAGAACAAACAGTATACTTTTCTCGTGCTTTTATCACATTTATGTAACAAAAAAACGACGCTTTTAGTGTGCTATTTTCATGTTTTAATGGCGCTTCCAGCACTTTTTAAAAATTTTGAGAGTACACTGTACTTTTATTACGCACAAAGCATGCCTCCGAATGACATGGTGGAAGTGTATCAGTAACACGGTTGCAGTACGCCAGTTAATTTTTTACCACACATTGACACATTTGTTCCATGCGGTCAGCATACTTTTATCGTGCTTTTCCGGGACAGTGTAGTGCTAGAATACTTTTCTTTTTCTTTGACTTCGATACTTCGGTTATTGTCGCTCAAGTAAGAGAGTGATTCTGTGCAAATTTAGAGATGTTTTGTGTGAGTATATTATACTATTTAGTGTATTAATATACGTGTGGTAAAGCATGGTGACCTTTTTTTTAATGTGGCGATTTTTTGCATACTCTCTCACGTGAGATGATTAGTCTAACTCGTTTCTCTTTAAAAAGTATCCGTTTCTGTCTTCGAGGTTAGCAAAGTTTTTTCCTCGACATTTTCAGAAGTAAACACGTAAAATTTCATTTCTTCCAACTTTTATTTTCAAAGTGATCTAAAAAAATCGTTGATACAACAGTGCATGAAGTTGAACGAGCAAACAACTATGTATCATCCTTTAAAAGTGATTTTTTAGCGATCTACTCTGCGAGAGAACATCAGATAGTTTATAATATATTGAAGTCGTTTCTCGCGGAAAAAGGCCTTTTCTCAATTTTTTGACTTCTTTTCCACTTTGTTTTTCACTAGTGAGATCTACTTGAACACAAATCCATCTTCAAAACAGCTTATAAAGTGAAAAAAACACAGAAAGGAGAAACAATTTATCTTCTTTATTCGAACCTCTCAAGATGACAATCCTGATCAAACCCCTGACACGTGCAAAACTATTGTGGTTAGTAGTGTGACATAGCGCCAAATCTTCTCATATACTACGATCTGTTACGATTTTCTTACACTGAAATTCTTCTTTTTTCATTTTAGAAAAGATCGACATTGCTTAAGAAAGAAGCATGCCGCTTATGAAAGCTGAATACCTTGTTGTTTTAAGTTTTGCTCTAACATTTACAGTTGTTTGTAATGCATTTTATACAAAACGTCAGTTTTATCCATCTGTCGTTTATCTAACAAAGTCAAGTACAAGTTTAGCCGTAAGTAATGATTTCTTTACTTAGTTCTACATACCTTTTTGATTTTATAAGAATTATATGATGAATAATTTTAGGTTTTATATGTACAAGCATTTGTTTTTTTTCTTCTTGTTGGAAAACTTGTACAACGAATATTTCTTGGACAATTGAGAGCAATTGAAACCGAAGTAAAGACTTTATTATTTTTCACTCTATATGTGATTATAACTGATTTTTGTTTTGTTTAGCACCTATACGATCGGACATGGTTTTCAGTTACTGAAACATGTTTAGCATTTACAGTATTTCGTGATGATTTTAGTCCGCGTTTTGTTGGATTTTTTGCTGTTTTATTATTTCTAAAATGTTTCCATTGGTTATTGGAAGATCGGGTCGATTATGTAGGGATTATTTTTTTGATAATGATTAATGTTACTGAAAAAAAGATTTTGAATTTATTTTGCAGATGGAGCAAAGTCCGGTACTTGGTCGAGTTTTTCATGGCCGAATTATAAGTAAGTGTAATACAAGTAGCAATAAGAAATATCGAAATATGTATTTATACCTACTTTTAGGTCTTTTGAGTTTATTACTTCTCTGCGATTATCTTTTTATAACAACAGCTTATTCTCATACATTAGTCAAAGGTGCATCTGTTCAAATTGTATTTGGTTTTGAGGTAGCAAGATTAATCAATCAATTTCTATCATTCTTGAAAGATTATGTATTCTTTTTTTTAAATTTTTTAGTATGCCATATTGCTTGTATCCGTCATATCTACAGGTACAAAATATTTATTACATTCAATTGAAATTCGTACCGGTGAACAATGGGAGAACAAAGGTGTATTTATGTTATACGCTGATTTAATACTTGGATTTTGTCGATTAGTTTTATATATGATATTTATGTTGGTTATGATGAGAATACATACATTTCCATTATTTGCAATTAGACCCATGTTTATTGCAATGAGGTATGAATATAGTTTACCATGTTTATTTTCCATCAAGTGTGCCTATCTAAGAAGAATCAAAGCTGATCAATCTTTTTCAATACACTATGTTTATTTTTAGAGCATTTCGTAAATCATGTACGGATGTTATTGAATCTCGGCGTGCTATTCGAAGTTTAAATACACTGTACCCTGATTTAAGTGCCGAAGAACTAGCAACAGTCACAGATACAACATGTATTATTTGTCGAGAAGAAATGTTAGTTCAACAAAGTATCAAACGTTTAGGATGTCAACATATATTTCATAAAAACTGTCTTCGTTCTTGGTTCCAACGCCAACAAACATGTAAGCTAGAGAAAAAAAAATGAGATTGTATAATTGTTCTCTAAAACATAGAAAATATTATTTCAGGTCCAATATGTCGTACAACCGTATTGCGACCACTTGGTGCTCAATTACTTGGAACTCCAGGACAAGCTCCTGCTGGTGCACAAGCTGCGGCTGGTGTTGCTGCTGCTGCTCCTGCTGGTGCTACAGGTGCCACACCTCCTCCAAATGCAGCAGGACAATCACTACCAGGTGTAATTCAGGGTAATGGAGGTATGTTCTTTGTGATATTGTCTTCTTTGTTTTCTTTTTCGAGTTGCTAAACATTGTTCTTCAACGCCAGTCTGTTCGTCTATATCGCCTATTTTTCTATGCATATTGGTGTACAGTGATAAAGAAGACACGGTATTAATTCTGACGAAATTTTTTATTACTTGTTAAGCACATACTTATGTTTCTAATAATCTTTCTTAAACCTATGAACTATACAAACATACTAATTTGTCATCTTTCCCAAAATCTGAACTCTGAACAAATCATCCACAAAACCAAGTGGTGCTAATAAATGTGTTCTAGTTTCTTTCTCTCATACAACAGGAACCGAAGACGTGGTATTATTGAGGAACATAACTTGTAATCTTCTCCCATTTTTCTATTTGACCATAAATTCTCAATACTAATTGAAAAGTTAGTTTTTTAACGGACAGAAAACATCAAAATTCAATCTCATACCTATTTTAATAAAATTTCTAGTGCAAACAACAAGAAATAACAAACATTCGAACCATTGAAAACTATAAAAAATTAAAAATTCATCAAGAATTTTTTTTCGGGATTAAGAGAGTGAAAAGTTTTATTTCTCAGAATCATCACAGATTTTATGTTTGTTTTAAGAACAGAACTCTTTTCAACTGTTTTTTTACGAAGAAACATTTTTATTGTGTCATACCGTCACCTGAAAGATAAAATAATAGCAATAAACGTTTCTCAGTTAAGTAGACATAACATAATACTGAGCCATAGGTAAAAAAGCACCTGTACTGGTGTTTGAAAAAATAAATGATGTTTGAAACTATACTCCTAAAAACGGACGATAATAATATCGTATTCTTCTATTTTTACAGAACTTTCCGATAAATATACATTGTACATACTTACTGTACGATATGACAGCCTTGCAGTTTAGCTGATGACAAACTCGTGCTCCTCTCTTCTCCGGTGTACACGATAACCTAAGAAATGTATAGGCTTAATTCTCTATTTAGTTAATCGTTCATTAGTCCATTTTTCTCTCATTTTTTCTGAAATAAACTTTTCTGTGCATATGAGACTTGTCATTGAGCCACTTTTTCAATCAATATCAGTTTAATTCTTACTTTTTAATTTATCACTCATTTAGTCGAATAATTTTTAACAAAAATATACTGGATCTCTACTGTGTCTTCATTCATACCAAATAATTGCCTCTTGCTTACTGAAAAAGTGTTTTTTACGTGTGTCCATTTTCCCATGACAGTTTAATACTCATATTTTCTTTTATGTCTTTGAAATTTTCGCGTAACATAGTTACTATCTATTTTTATTTTGCTTTTATTTAGGACAAGCAGGAGCTAATGGACTATCACCACCTCCATTTTTCAATTTCACTCCATTTAATCTAAATAATCTAAGCAATACAAATAATCCTCCTAGTCAATCACAACAAACTTCACTGCCATTTGGACCATTTTCAACCGTATTGCCTCCATTTGGTAAGTGCGAATATGCTAGACAGAGATTTAGAATGAGATTTTAAGTGCGAGCGGCGTTCGGGAAAGAAAAAGATGACTTTATACTACTTCTGGAGAGAAAAAAATATTCTAGGGAAATTTTTGAAAGTGTCTCTGAAATCGTAGTGTTTCCACAGGAAAAATTGAAATGTCATCATCGTTTCAATTTGTTTTAGAAAATTTTTTAGATTCGCTTGAGAAAGCGTCGAAACATTCTGAACCTCTGATGCTAGGATTATACTAAAAGACAAAAGACATTTGATGAAATTATTAATATTATATTACTCTATTTCATTGTTTCTTTTAGCATTTCCACCACCACCTTTGCCACCATTAAATTTTTCCGGTATGTCCGAAGAAAGTATTCGTGCAATGGAAGAAACAGAATTACAACATGTTCAAGCTCGAATTCAATGTTTAAGAAATGTACAAAATTTACTTGATGCATCCATGTTACAAATGCAAACATATATGAATATTGTTCAAACGCAAAGGTATATAGTAAACTCTGAAAATAATTTATTTTATTTTAATTCACTTTTATTATGTTTAGCAATATGAACAATAGTAATACAATTCTTCAAGATTTGAATTTAGACACAGAAAGAGTATTACAACCGAGAAATAGTAAACAATCACTCAATGAATTACCAGGAACGACGACCAGTGGTAAGTAATAAATTGTTCATTTTCTTTTTCAATAATACATAGACAAGCTGAAGCAATAATTCAAAATATGAGATGGTGGACTATATCAAGGCGCTTATATAGACAACAGTTATCAACCAGGAATATATCCATGATTTCTTACGGCTCTATTCCTTCAAAAAGAAATTTAATTTTCAAATAAATATATGATGTGGTAGCCGAAAGTCTTCTCTTTCGATTCAACAGATTGGTTTATCTCCAAAAAAATATTTTCAGAGCTTTTTAGACGATTTTTCTAAAACCCTAAACGATAGTTATAATAATCCAAAAAGTATCTACACTAGCAGATACCTATGGGATACATATGTGTGCAAAGTATGGTTGAAATTTTATAAAAATTATTTTCTGATCTAACTTCTTCAAGATAGGGTTTTTATTTATTTTTGTATCTTTCTCAAAATTGCTTTAGATCAAAATCACTGCATTTTTTGTAATCGGCATCGGTATTCTGACGACAATGCTCACGTATTGATAGAATAGTATTTAAATTCAAAAAAGCTATCTTGCTTGAGAAGTTAGATCTGAAAATAATTTGTATAAATTTTCAACGATGTTGAATCTGATACACATTTGTGCACACATGTATCCCCTAGCTATCTACATATGGAGACATTTTTTCTCGTTTTTTTGGCTTAGAATTGGTATAGGGAAGGGAACTTAAAAGAGCTACTAAAGGTTTCTTCAATATAAATTTTTTTGTTATCCGTTCAATTAAAGCTGTTTAGTATTGTGATTTCGGACGTGAAATTGCATCTTCTGAATAATATAATAGCAATGTCTTTTTTTTAAATACTATTGCTATTTTTTAAAAGAGAAAATTAAGAGGATGCCCATGACCCTGATCTGACTCTACTATAGATACATCACTGCTCCAACTAGTCCTAATAAGGGACTTAAGAATAAGAGAATGACAAATCTATCAATAGTCGAAAAACATATTGTGTTAAAATAATTCGATTTGAAAAGTGCAGGAGAAAAAACCTAATTCAAAGATTAGAAAATTAAAAAAATTTGCTTGATTTTATACACTAGTTTTGGTATATGTTTATTTTAGAGACCATAATTGACGGCAATGAATCTCCAACTGAACCCGCATTTATTCGCCGACGTCGTGTAGAACATTTTACATCTCCACATAATCTAATTTCGCCAGATGCATCTACATCAATGTCAACAGCAACGACCACAAACTCAGAAATTGATAATAATGATGATAAAAAGTGATGGTCAATAAATTCCGGGCTATTGTTGTTATATTTAATTTATTGTTTCTTTTCGTAGAGTTCTCTTGATTCATCCTTTGTATATATATATGTTGCGTCTGGGTAATATATCTTATCAGTTTAATTATTAGTGAAAGTATTCTTTATCCAAACAGTGCTCCGCTCATTTATATTTGTATTGATTTTTTTTATGCTGTCACATTCGCGATGCCGCTCTAGTAATCTAAATGAATACTCTCTCAAAATCTATGTTAAAACATGCAACAAGCGCCATATTCTTTGTTTTTGTGTATGTATGAGTGTTCATAGAAAATTTGAAACTATTTTTACATTTTAGTTTATTGTGACCGCAATAGAAAAACAAACAGATACGAAGTTGATTGCAGCTATTTTTTTGTTATAAATCGACACGTTCGTATGTGGGTGAAGTTGTTTTAAAAAGAAACACTAGAAAAGATATATATGAGGTGAATTTAATAAATCAATGGGAAAGAAACTGACGTTTATTATAAAATCTATTTGGAGAAAGTAGCATCATTCAACGTCTACGACTTCTGTTGGAATTACCTTCTGAAATAAAAATGAACAAGCATCCATGAAAGCCATATATTTTTGTTGCACAGGAAGAGAAAGATACATGACATCAAAACCATATATAATGTAATGAACTAATCATCTCTGAACAAGAGTCTAGTTAGCTAACGGAGATTTTCTTTATATTTTTATAATTGATAATCTCTCTCATACTTAGAACTTAGAAAACAAATAAGTGATTTCATTGTTGATCAACCAAACTTGCAATCAACAGATTTATGCAAAAAAAAAGATGAAAAACAATAAGAAGACTTAAGAGACGATTCGCCAGCCCCAAAACTGGAATCAGCTGATTTACTGCATCAGATGATGTACCTTTGAAATCTTTTAGAGAAATGCAAAATTTGCTCGGAAGTCGAACATAAAACATCGAAAAATTGTCGAAATTTTTCATTTCTCTAAACGATTTCAAAGGTACATCATCTGATGCAGTTTTTGACGCTGATTCCAAATATTGCCTTACTTTTGCTTCTAAGTGAAGTTTCGATGACTAAAATCTCAAAAAACTGAAAACTCGCGGTTAGTCGGCCATCTTGTTTTCAAGTTTTGAAATTTTTTCACCGCTTTTAAAACAAAGTTTTTACGCTCAGTTTGTAGAAAATTGAATTCTCCGTCGCATTTGACCTTCGAATTCTTAGCTAAATTCTGTTTGGAGGGTCGAAGGTGGCATTTTCTCGAAAATTTTGATCCTTCAAAACTCCAAAATCCCAATTCTCCAATTGATGTGGGTTTTAAACAGTCACTTCCTACTTCAGAAAAGTTAGCAACTATCTGATTTTGTTCACTTTTTATCGGGCTTTCGAATGCGATGTTGCTCGAACAAAACGGACAAAAAAATGGCGGGGTTATAGTCAAAATATCAGAGATGACTATTTTTCGCAAATCGATGATGGTGCTCATTTTGTAAATTCTATAACTCAGCCAGAATAAGTCAGAAAGTTTTTTCATATTTTTCATAACGCTAGTTTTGATAGTAGAATCCGAATATGAAATAAAAAGTATATCCCAATTTTTCACTCGTGATCGGTCTTATACTCGATCAACTAGCGAAGTCTCTCTTAAATAAGATTTTGGTCTAAAGTGACAGCATTAACCTTATAAGAAAAATTAATGAAAATCAAGAACATTTTCTCACTGCCCGAGCTGTATAATATTCAAAAGTATCTTTAAAAATATTTTCGGTGCTACAGGTAGGTACCAGGGTCATAAAAATTAAATATTTAGTAAAAACAGTCGATTTTAAGAGAAAACTTTCTGACCATAAAAACTGAGTAAGATAGAATTCTTTCTTTGACGTATAATACATTGTCCTATTGAAAAAACTAATTATTTCACCATATTGTTAAAGTTTTTCCTTGGTGTAACAAAATCAGACTTACTGAGCGGACAAAATTGAATTATAAAAATTTTAAAGTAGTCTTTACTGTAACTCATGAAACTCTACTGAATTTTTCTGTTCAGCCGTGATTTTGCAAATTGGCTTGGCCACATAACTCTGCTACCGTAGTGTAATTCCGTCACGTGAAATATATTCATCCAAGATAAGATGTAAGTTGTGACGATCGTTGCATGATAGATTATTATGAATTTTTAGTAAAACAATTCGAAAGTTTATGGTTTCGTCCATAAAATAACAATGGATGTTAATGTATTTTTTAGGTACCTGGGAACAACGTGTAGTCTTTTTGCTTCCAAGTTTTTTGCCATTGTCGTTAACAAACGTCAATGTGTAAACTTCGCTGCTATTGTGTAATTCGACTGAAAAATATCGAAAAAATAAGCTTATTTCAAAAAAGTTTTCAACCACACTCGGCTAATACTATCTTAGAGGTTGATGAGAAAGAACGTTTCTTACTGACACTTTCTTTTTTCCGGATAGAACCATCTTTTCCTTGTATCTTTTGTTTCTACACAAGTGTAAGCATCTACAAGAAAAATTTGTTTCTTACAGTTAATCAGATCTTTTTCGTCTGATATGTTGTGTCGAAAAGCATTTTGTAAGATAAATCAAACTGTTTAGTATGTGGGGTGCGGATGATTGCTGCAACCCCTATACTTATAAAAGTTTTCGTTTTTCGTTAACAGAACGACTTCACGTTTTCTAAAAATATATTATCAGCACATTTAAACAACTTTTTGAAAGACGAACAGATCTGATCGACGAACAATTACACACCGATATTTTTTAACATGGTAACTATGTCACAACATCAAACTTGTGAAAATAATTACTGTCAGAGTATAATTTAAAATGTTGAAACCTAAAGTCGACTTTTGGAGAAGATGCAACACAAGAGTCTTTGGAGCAAGTGAAAAAGTCCAGCACTATCGATAAGCAGCAAGTATGAGGACCCATCATTAAAACGTTTGTTAGCTAAAATTTGTAAGCCAAATATCACGGTAAAAATTTTAAAAAATGGTTGATTTTGTACGTTGTTGATTAAGACGTTGACCAAAAGAGAAATACTTGTAACATTCCTGTTATACCGGTAATAAATTTCTTTTCAAACTTAGTTACTGGAGTTTTTCATATTTGAATTAGGAGTTAATTTTTGTTGAATATCATAAGAAGTTCTAAAATGAAACAGTGGCTCGAAATTTTTGTAATGAAATGTTTTGTTGACATATGTCATTAATAACAATTTCATTTATATCCACAATATTATCGAATTCTGATATTGTTTGAATGCGTTGAAGGTCGTCCTTCAGATCACGTAAATGATTATCAAAAAATGAAGTAAACAAATCTTGTTTTCCTTCCAGTGATATTTGCTACCAGGAATGAGAATTGTTTTTAATTGATCTAAGAAATGATGTATCATTAGTGAATTTCTTCATTATTTCGTAAAACATTTTAAAAATGTTTGCTCTCCACGACCTTTCTTTGCAAAGTTATAAAATTTACAAGAAATATAAAGTAATTTTTTCATTTTTTTCTCTCTATAGCTTCGAGCTGACAATGAACGTTTGGTGCGTTTTTTTTAAATTTTATAACTTTGCAAAGAAAGGTCGTGGAGAGTTGGGCGAGGTCTCATTTTGATGCAAAATTTACGGACTATAATCCCAACATGTTGAAAGAACATTGCTACGGTTTCAGGAATTTCTACAAAACACGGTCTCCAAAGAGAGACTAGGAAAGATCTATGGGCCCAAACGGTTATCATATTCGTAATCAGCGTTCTTGATTACATATAAATAGCCAGGTTTGAACAAAATCAGAGTGTATCACTTGGGGTGGTTCCCTCGTGAGTCAGATAATATTTGTTAAATTATCGGATTGAAAGTAAAATAATATATTCCACATTACTGTGTTATTATTTCTCGATAGTAAATTTGATAATTCACAGTTTAAATCCATAATAAAATTTTTAATTTGTTGATCAATCATTTTATTACGTTTAATCAAATAACGTAAATATTCGATAAATGATTTTATTATTGCTTGTAATAAAACATCATTTTCGAGTAATCTATTTAGTATGATCAAACTTTGTAAAAGTGTATCAATAGCAGATGAATTTTGATATGATTCACATATTTCTGTTGTATACGATTACTAAAATAATCTTTAAATATTGACTATGATTTCAGAAAAGACTTTTCAGCAGTCAATGTTTGGTAGACTAAAGATAACATTTCAACTGTACTATTTTCAGATGTTTTACTTTTAAATTTTTTCTAAACTTAATTTTCTACTTTCTACCCGAAATGGTTCACTCAGTACGGTATAGAGTTGTTTCCATTGATCTTCATCATTAGGTAATTGAGTTAAATTTTTTGATTTCCAAGCATAGTCCAAACATTTGATTCCAACATCGATAGCTGCTGTTCGAACTAATGGATAGTAATATTCAATTCTTATATGATTTTCATATATATCAAGTAACCATTTTGATTCCAGTTCGTTGATTAATCGATGATTTTTTTAATCCAATATCTACTAAACTTTTAGGAGTTGTTTCTAAGCGTGGTATTTTGAATCTAATTTGATATGAAAGTTTTTCATATGCTGTAGAATTTAGTTACAAATGTATACAGCCTTCAATATCACAAAAATTGGTTGGATACTATAAATTAGCGTGGAATAGTACTGCTCGAATGGATAGAAGAGAATCACTTTGAATACGTAAAGAATATCTTTAATTCTTCGAAAAGTTCGGAATGGAATATTGATCCAGTCTTTGTTGTCGTTGGTGGTGGAGTTAAAGACGAAACTTCAAGATTCTGGTTGAGTGACCATTGGTCAAATTGCTGTAAGATGGACAGTATAGTATTTAAAACAAATGGTCTTTTTTTCAGTTACGGCTTGGAAAGTTTATCAAGTTACGTTGTTACTTTTGAAAGCTTTCTAGATCGAACAACAGAAGTTCCTACTAAGCATAGAATAATACAAATTATACGTAGAGTTTTTGTCATCACCCAAGATTAGACTTACACATTGCATTAGTGGAGATAAATATAAGTCAGCTCTTCCGGAGCATATTTTAAATAAATTAAAATGCATTCGTACGTTGAGAAACCTCTATTATAGATACCATTTTGAAGTAGATATAATTGCTTTCCGTAACCTTAATTGTATGGTGAGGAGAAAAATTATCTTGTATACAACTAAAAGATGGAATGTTTTTCTCTCAACCATTAATAATGCTCATATTCAATCACCGCCGATATTCTAGAATTTTTTATCGCGAATATACCATCCTAAATCGCTCCTAATTTCTAAATTAATAGTTAATGTGCAAATACTCTCTAACAAAATGAGATTGTATATGGTCTTTTTCACTACTACAAAGATCAATTTCTACCAAGGCCTTCTGGCACATCTAAGACCAAATTTAAATTTGTATTAAAACAAATAGAGAACTGCAAGGAAGTTGGTACAGTTGGTAACACATCAGTATTAGAAGTTAGTCGGTTTATTAAAAAATTCAAAGCAAACAAATCTATCGGAGATGATAATATATCAGACTTCATGTTAAAATTTCTACCGCTAAGTTATGCCGAGTGCCTGGTAAAGTGTTTTAATGAATAGTTAAAAACAGGACCGTTCTTAGTTGAGTGGAAATCACGAAATTCGTTATATTAAACAAGCTAAACCCCTGAATTTCCATGTGCAAACAAACAAGACCAGTTTCCGTGTTATTGACTCATTCGAAGATTTATGAAAAACTCCTTATGCACAGAATCAAGATATGGGCTGATAGTAACTCTATTCTGTCTCCTGAACAATTCTGTTTTCGCCCTAAATATCTGATACCATCCAAGGTTCTTTCAATGTGTTAGGTGTTAACTAACAATCTAGCGCAAATGTTCCATCGTTAGTTATATATGTGGATTATAAGAAAGGTTATAATAAAATAGTCCATCAAATCCTTATTACAAAATTATTTAGATTAGGAATGCCATTATCTTTACTAAAGGGAATTTGAAACTGGTTAAAGGGCATGACGGCAAAGAATAATATTCAGAAAAATTGGTTCAAACTTCTTTGTAATCAGCGTAGGCAAGGGGGATATCGAAGTTTCATTAAAAAAGGAAGTTGATTAATACTTTTAATGAAACTTCCGGTGTGTTCGGTGACCCTGGATTTTCATTAAAATTTTTATGAAACTCCAGGTCACAGTCGCATTGCAGGAGTCATTTTAATGAAAGTTCGATGAACAGAATATAAGTTAAAGATCCGAACATAGGTATATTTAAGCGGAAAAAAAAGTATGTATCGCTACATATACGAAGTGAAACAGGTATCTGTTGCTAAACGATATATATGTTACAGGGAATGTAGGAAATCAGGGGATGTGCACATTCCCTGTATCATATATATATTAGATAAAATGCTTGTACCATCAAAACCATTTTAATGAAACTCCTGCTAAAAAATTTTTTAATGAATATTTCGGTACTTTCATTAAAAAAGAATGCTTTGATGAAAGTTTTTTTAATGGAACTCACCCAAGGCGGTTCTTTAAGCATCGTTCTAATTATCATATTCCATTGTGACTTACCCACCCATTAAGTTGGGTGCATATGCTTCGGGGTGTTCGCATTCTTCAACAACATTCAATTGATTATGAACAACCTATCAATTTTATCAAAACGGTCTATCAAATTTTCCATCAGCCAGATTGGAAGATCTCGATTATCATTAAAAATAGCAAGTCACAAATTAGAGTAAGTAGTAGCCTTTAAATACTTAGATTTTAACCAACAGTAGACGCAGCAATCGAAAAATTAAAATTAAAATTCTCAAATCTTATTCTAAGTTAAAATGGCTATCCGAGGGTGATGCCGAGGGGGTTTCTATTAAACTATGATGTCAGTATTTTTTCCCTTCTTTCTCTGGTATTTTTCCCATCTATCCTTTTTTATCTAAGACTTACGTTGAACTGTTTAATCAGATATTTAGAATAGGGATGAGTATGGTCTATAATTGTCCGCTTGTCGACGACGAGGAATTATTTGAGCTTCGTAAAGAAGATCAGCGAGAGGATTAAAAAGTTAGATTCCTAGAAAGGAGACTGATGCGATGCTATGACTCGGACCTCAGTATATCACCTATCTTCGACGATACCTATACAATAAATGGCAAGTATAAAAAAAGCCTACGCTTAGATATAGATGAATATCGTTCTCTAGCCTTTTTCTTTCTTTAGTTTTGCTGAATAAAGAAATTGGATGTGGGTCTATGTACAAAATAGAACAAATGTTCATTTTTTATTGTCAGTTACACAATCTAACACAATTTAAAGCTGAACTGTATTCTTTCTGTTTATATATATCAGATCGTATATCGTACTGTTTATATATACCAAGATCGTAGAACCTTGGCCAGCATCTTATTTTGCAACGAATTGAAGGGGCTACCCAATGATACGGTTGAAAAACTTCTGAAATAAACTTTAACATAACTAGATTTTCTAGAAAACCGAATTTTTCAGAAATCTCTATCTCAAGATCCCGAGGTGTAGCATAACTTTTCTTTGTCGAAATATATAGAACTCGACGCGCGCTTTCATATGATACTAACTTCAAGTTTTGACGTTAGGGAATGTGTTCACAAACTTCGTTTCATGACTGTCCGCTTACTTTTGCTTAAGGGGCCCCCCCCTCAGAAATTATCTCCTACACCGTGCATCCGATCTTGACGAAACTTTTCATAAATGTTCGGCATAATGAGTTACTGGAATGAAAAAAATTTTTTGTCTCCAAGTCTTACGGTTTAGGAGTTTTCCAGAGATCAAGGTCCAAAAAGGACCCTGAACGGCGTTTCAAGATTTTTTAATATACTTCAAGCTGGAGAGTTCCGGTTTGTTTTATTTTAAACTAGACACCTAACTACATCGACTGATCGGCGCCGATTTTTCAATTAAGCCTTTATTGGTTTTCCAGGCAACCAACAACCTGCGAAACCCGAAAAAGCCTTCCGAATTTTCTAAAAATCTTCAGTTTGACAAAAAACTAACACCTAATTCAAAAATCGACGCCGGTCAG